ATTTTCAAGGAGTTTTTAAGGGTATAGTGAAATCTATAGATTCTGGGTAAAAAATTTTATTGCAAATGAACGCAATATCTAGCCGGTTATATTTTTTTTTCTAAGATCTTTCTCTAAGAATATGTTTCCAAGATAGTGGGGGACTCCGACGAGAGATGGAATAAGAGAGTGATTTTTATCGTTGGGGTACGACTCAGATAACGACATGTCGTTTTCCGACTTGTTTTATTACCCCAACATGTTACTATACGTATACGTATTTCGTATATTTACGAAAGGGACGAGGGAAAACCGTAAAACTCACTGCTCCGCATCCTTTCATCCTCTTTATACCCGTGAATATATTTTTTTAAATATCAAAATACACCGCACATTGCTCTATCGTAAAGAAATAATAAAATTCACGCATCGTCAGATCATTTTATGTTATAATTTTCAACAGAACGGGAAATAGTTGAGAGAAGATTAAATAAATAGTCGTACTCAAAGCGGAGAATGTATAACTCTTGATATATTTTTAAATTGGCTATCTGAAGCGTAAATTTTCCCTTTGATTCCTCTATTTCTCACCTTTTCTCTTTTCATGACGAATGGCTATTGTCGCTGATTATTATCGTTATTTTTCCACTCTGCTTTTATCCCACCATTCATAACACTACAGACGTGCGATAACGCATTCAATTGTCGTGGTTTGTGATTCATGTCTCTGTACCTATTCAGCAATTGTTCCGGTGAATATTTTACTCGCGGTTTTATATCGTCCACCGAAAGATCTTTTAATTAATTTGTAATTGGTTGAATTTTTTTTAATTTATAAATCCCGTGATGATTTATTAACGCGGGATTGATTCATAATCGAATTATCAAGTATTTCGCAATTTAGTATTAATGAGCGATTCAAATTGATGATTTAGTTAATTTTTTTTTAAAATTTTTTGTTCAGTGAATAGCGAGAAAAAAATGAACGTGGTAATTCAACTATTGTGGACGCAAGTGTTGGGGCAAAAAATAGTCTCCATTAATTAACGGTCCCTTAGATGTCCTGGAAAAAGACTCTACTCCGGTTGCCTGGGGTTTAAGTAACATTTCCTTTTTATTTTCGCTTCCATTGAAACACGTGTAGGTCAGAAAAGTGCAGAGTAACGATAATTGGTATCTCTGCCGTTGATAGTTGACGTTTTTCTCTCATTTCTCTGCACTCGGTCCTTCAATTTTCCTCAATGCGACATTATTAACGGCATCTGTAAAAATTTTCTGACCCCTCATCATCATCATCATCAGCATTAATCCTCTGGGAGGGAAATTGAATGCTTCGGCGAGGTACATTTTATGGAATTGAGACGTAATTCAAATAAAATGAAAATGGAAAATTGATAAGACAATGCAATTGCTGGGGATTTACGCAATAATTTTAAACTGACGACCAACTCTTTGTTGTTATTGGGTAAAAAAGATTTTGCATTGTTTTGAGAGATTGATGTTTTGAAAATTTATAGGGCTGATTCTGGTAGAGGGGGAAGAGTGATTTTACTGGTGCCAGTGCTCTTATTTTATTTCTCACCAATGTCTGGTTTAATGTATTCTACACCTTTCACTTTTACCGTGATGTACCATAAATTTAAAACGTCGGAAGTATCCTCTCACTTTGGAGTGGAATCTCGCGTTTGGCACCACTAATTGCCTTGTTTCAATGATAAATGGAATGGCAAAAACTTGGGATATAAAGAGATTAGGAATTAGCGAAAAGAATTCATGGGTAATTGAATTTTTATGAAAAATTTCTCTCGGTTTTTCTGATGTAAATTATTACACAACCTCGTGGTCTACTTTTTTGCCTATGATATTTCTCGTAGGGTAGTCATACGGTACATTCTCACTCTTTTTCTCTGTGAAAAAGAAAAATATGAATCTGCAATTTCCGATTAAATTGCATTGATCCCAATTCTCTGGATGACTCTCTGGAGAGATGTTACAATCCGGTTGATTCAACGCTGTTTGATCGAATTATTCTCGTTTAGCTTTCATTTTTATCTCTTCCAATGGCAGTCGGGGTAAACTGATTCGCAGGACTAAATATTATTTTGACACAGCGGTTTTTTATCTTAAAAATTGATCAATTATCGTTTATTTTTAGCACATGGTATTACTGCACGGTTTTTCTATTTTCGCAGCAGCACTGGTAATTGCGTTGTTGTTTTTTTTTCTTTTTTCTCTGGGAAATGAAAAAGAAAATAATGGGGGAAAAATGGTTTCGTTAATGGGAAATCGTAAACACGAGGGGTCTCCCTCGTGTTGCGACGGAGGAATCATTTTTTCGCGCCTGATGAGGGAAAAATAGAGTAAATCGATGGGCATTAGCATTGCGGTAGAAAGCGAGGAAAATTACCGGTGAAAAAATCAGCCGATTATTTTCGAGCCTTGCGAAATCGTCCCTTTGAGTAGAAAATAATTACAAATCTAAATATTAACGCTTTTAATTTCAAATGGGAGATTTGTAATCGAGTTTAAAAAAGCTTGAAAAAGCTTGAAAAAGCATGAAAATTCAAAACATTTGAAACATCCAAAAAATCGGGACGATTTTGGAATCAAATTGCTTTTTTAATAAGAAAAATATAGAATGAATGATTTAATTAACAATTTACTTTCTTTTCTTCTATAAAAAGGAAAAAGAAAATCGATTTAAAAATATCTCGAAATATCTTGAAATATCTCGAAATATCTTGAAATATCTCGAAATATCTTGAAATATCTCGAAATATCTCGAATAAGGATAAGATCCGTGAGGCGAAACCGATCCGCCACCACGAACCCGTGGTTAAATCTGACCGATAAATATTTTATCGCAACATTTTCCGTTACATCAGGATTTTAAAAAAAAGAACAATTCAATGCACTGATTTTCTCTGTCACTATGTTAATGGGTCAATATCCCATGAATATTATCATCCACCATTTATAATGACTCGGTCATTACTCAAGAATGTAGAAAACCTTGAAGCCGAAAGCAAAGTAATAACACGTTATGCAGTGGCTCAGTGGCCCATAACTCTTACAAATAATTATGAATCTGAGATATGTTTTCTCAAAGCCCCACCCACAGCATCTGAAAGTCGTAAACTCAGAGTGAATAAAAAAAAAAACCAGTGGGCTAATTGTAATTTAATTAAATCCAGTTGTTTTCTCTTTCTCATGGGCAATGTCGTTTTGAATTGTCCTGGTGTCATAATCGTCTCGGTTATTGGTACGGAAATGATAGCAAACCTTCTCCAATTACAGTCTCTACTACTTTCAGGTCTTCTGGAATGATCAGGGTTGAAACATTAAAACGCGGAAGGTACTCTCCTCATGGCTCATAAGCCACTCAAGTATTGAATCTATATGACTAGAGCTGCCAGTTGCAGATTCAAAGTCACTTTAATTGCCGGAAAACGTGCACTCTTGAGGAGATAAGCGAAATTAAATTTCGTATCTCAAATTTTTTTTTTTTATCGTATTCATTAAAAAATATCCTGGATACTCAGTATCGCTGAAATTTCATCGAGAACTCACTCGGTTCACTGGTCAAATAATTTATATCGATATTAATAGGAAAATAACACATCTACAATTAAAAAATTTAATTGGAAGTGAATTATTTGCACTATTTAATGAATATCAAGGGAATATTTTTTAAATGATAATATTTAATTTATGTTGAGAGTATTCGAATGATTTCTTATCAGAGGAGAATCGATTGTTCTTTTTTTTTCCTCTGTACAAGTTTTAATTGCCGTGGAATTGTTATTATCCGGTGTAATTACAAAACGGTTGATGGATCCAATTGCAATACTTTGTGGCGAATTTTCTAACTCGTGAAAAACATTGAGAAGGGGATAAATGGTTAATATCCATTCATTAGCTAATGGATACGGAGTTGAAAGCGGATGAGATTTTGGGAATGGCTCGCAGTTATCGAAAAACATTTGGGGATTGACGTCTAAATAAAAAAAGTCCATTGACCTTTTCCGTTAATCCTGATGGTTCCGGTATCGATCGCATCAAATCGTATCAATCAAATTCGTAGCAATTATCCATATACCAATTAAATTGACAAGTTAATTTTCTTTTTATAATTATTTAAAGTCAAATGGCTATTTTGAAATTGGAATAGCGGATTTAACAGCTGTTTTCTCCATTGAATTTTATCTATTTTCTAATATCGCTGGCTAAAACTCGTTTAGTAGTTGTTGGTTAGTTTAGTGATGCTCTCGTATATCGATTTCACTCGTTGCCCTTCTTCTTATACACAATGGTGATTCCGTAAGAACAAGGATGGAAGGATATCCATTTTAGTCATGAAAGTGGGCCGATCACACGCGAATGCACGTTTGGGTTTAATGGAGCACGCGTACTTGTTCTTAAGTCATGGGGATTGGTGAGAGTGGGGGTGGTGCTTTCTAAAAAAAAGTTTTCGGCGAAAAGATGCATGCAATGTTTATACCGATCACCCGCGGGGTTTCCACCGATTAAAGAGACTTGAAGTGAAATGCGAAATGATAATGATGATGCCGTGTACTTCCTGATCATTCGAAAGCTGATCCAACGGTTTTTTTTTTCTTTTTTCCCTCAGTGAGATGCTCCACTTATCGCGGTAATGTTCGTTGCGATAATTTCGAATTACTTTTTTATTACAAGTGGAATTTTTTCCTTTTTTTTTCGTCAATCGTCAATGACTGAAATCAGGAGAGAATCGTTGAGTCATTATGAGTAGTCATTGAGTGATTTCTCAGCCGGAAGTGTGGAATGAGGGAAATTAATCGAGATGAGTATTCGTTTTCTTTTTCAAAACTCATGATTAATGCAGTCATCATCGAGATTGAGGGATTCGGGAAAAAATAATATCGTTAAAAAATTAGTAAATATTATAAAGGATTTTTTATTAGTCGAGGTTCAGGTGGTACATCATTAAAAAATTGTGAAGTCACATGATTTTTTTGCGACGGGAAAACAAAAATAGATAATTGCAATGAATTTGATTTATATTTGTACATTTTTAAACATGAGTACATGGCAAAATGCTTTTTGTTTAGCAGTGACGATATTAAATGTGACGGGAACATGTGTAGTATATTTAATTCATCAAATTAGGTTGGCGGTTGTAAATAAATTCTGACAAATTTTCTGGGATTGATTGAAAAAAGAGAGTATCGTTTTAATTATTCATTCATCTCCGTCGGTGAAGTTCTCTTATAGTTGGAAAATTTTATGAAAAAGTTATCTCGAAACAGCCAAGTCGACTCCATAGCTTCAATACTTCATCCAGTGTTCCACTGAAAAATTGAATGAAATTAGATTCTGCTTGAACTCCGATAAAAATAAAGATGATAAAATTTTCAAAACAAACTTTTCAGCTAGTCACCATGACATCCGCGGAATGGTTCGCAATATATGGGAACAGGCGATGCCTGAATATACGAAAAGCACAAAACTAAAACACCAATCGTTACAACCGCGAATTTCCGTAATTCCATTGCAATTTTTCAATTTCACGAGAATAATCGCGTTGAGTTCACTCGCACTGTTGGAGCTGTTATGAATTTTCCTCTGCTATTACTCGATTTATATAATCATTGGGTTTTGCCTGATGTAAAAATAAATCACCAGTTGTTATTTGTAAATTGTCGGGACTATCTAATTTATTCGGTTGAAAGATAAGCGAAGGATGAATCAATCTCCGAGGAAGAAATGTTTGATGTATGAATGCAATTGCATAATTTATTCAGAAAGACATTGACCGTGAGAATATTTTAGCTTATCGGTGAAATATGAGCGAAATTATCAGGAACGAATTATGCAGAGGGGCGAATGCCAGGGTAATGTTTGAGTTTATCTCTTTATTTTTATTTTATTTTTCAAACTAGATTCACATTTTTTAATTAAAAAAATAGTCTTATTATTATGAAAAAGAAAAAAAACACAAAAAATACATAAATAAAAATAAAAAGGAAGTATTATTATTGTATGATGATTATTCTTATTTATATATTTTTTATTTATTCTTATGTTAGTTAGAGAAAAAAAATTTGAGTAAAAAAATTTTAATGTGGTTGAAAAATAGAATAACAATAAATAATAATGAGTAAAAAATAATTACCTGAGCTAGTCTCCATGACATCCACGGAATGGATCACAATATATGGGTGGAGGTGCTGCTTGGGTATATGACACCAAGCAGATGACAACTGTCACCGTGACAACAACTAATTGAAATAATTTCATTGTCATAATTACACTTTTCCCTGAGAAAAATCACGAAGTCTTTGACTCAATAGCTGAAGCTGGTATGAACCCTCCTAGATGATTACTCGATTTAAATAGAATCGTTGAAGCCAATCAATATTTTTTCGAAGAATTTACCTGGCCAGTCAAATAAACAGGGGAATCCCCGCTGCTGAACACTTATTGGGATCCAATGCCGATGCATGATCGATAACTTTAATTGCACTTGGGTTTTCCTGCTAATCGCACAAAAAATGATGAACAGGTATTGAATAAATAATGACAATCATCTGGTTTCATTATATTTTATTTCCATGAAGGTGGGAATATCCGCCGGTGAGTTTGATCTTCGTCAGGGGACTTGTCGTTCTTTCCTAGCCACTGCCGGGACTGTTAATGAGAATTATTAACAGTTTTAATTAATTCCAGTCGTTTAAATCAATATTATAGGATTTCATGTTTTGAAATTGGTTTTGTTCTTGATTGGTTGAATGAATGGAATTGAAAAAAATGGATGGGATGAGTTTGTTAAGGTGATAATGAAAATAATTTTTCAGTGTTAAATATAGACAATGAGAAATAATTACCACACTTGTCCGACGGGAGTTTCAACGCACGGTTTTCGTCTTGGTTTTCGCGGACTGCATGATACCAATCCAATGACAATAGCCAACATGAGGAAAGATAGTATTAATGACTTCATGATTGAATTTCGTTTCAATAAGTCCGAGTATTTCGCTTACAATTTTTGAGTCGATGTGCGTTCTTCCGAAGCGGTTTATATACCACCGGGTCGCGTTTGCGTCGCTAATTAATTTGTTTTCTTTATGGGGTAAAAAATACAAATAGTAACCTGTGTCAACCATTAACTAACTATTAAAGCACCTGAATAGTTAATAAATAATGCCTCAAACTCGTTATCATGACTCGCGGAAAATAAGAGGTGGGTATTCGGTGAGACTGAAAAAATCAATTCTATCTTCACAGATTATTTTCAATTGTCAGAATTAACAGCAATCGTTTACTTCGTTTGTTAGATATTTCTTGGAATTTCAGTCACAACGTCGTCGGAATTTTCAATTGCGCGGAGTGGAATTGAAATTGAATTAAAGACTCATTTAATTAATTGAATTTCGCTTTTATCCAGAATATTATTAAGAAAAATTAACTGATTAGTCAACGGAAAATTCTACAAGAATTTTCACAAAAATTTTTGTTACATCGTCGTTGTTAGGTTTCTCTAAAATTTTTAAATAGAAAATTTCATGTGGAGTTTTCGAAAAGTGAAAGCTTCACTTTCCGCAGCGTCTGTTCATTCCAATCGATCGGATCGGTTTCAATCGGCAAAGCACATAAATTTTCCAGATATAAGTAAAGTTGAGGGCAGAAAACTTGCCACTTAGAGCACCCGAGGTATTTGCGTTTCCGAGTGTTTCAGGAATATCCGCGAGAGACACTGGGAAAGCTGGTGAGGTTGCAGGGGAAAAAAAGAGGTTGAGGGGAAAAAAAATGGAAGAATGAAAAACTGAGGGTGCGGAAGGAAGCAACGCGGGAGGAAGAAGAATAAATTCCGCTGAAAGTTTCACGACTTTCGTGGGCTCTGGTTGTGAAGACAGTCTTGTCTTTTTTCAGAGATGCGCACTCAATTTTCTCAACCCGTAAAAAATCTACCACTCCAAATCCACCATTCATTCCAGCATTTAGGGTTTATCCTGTGGTTTTCCCACTTTTTACTTCTGAATGGAAACTTTGCAATCGAGCAAATTTTAATTTCATATTTTTGTCGTATATCGACTCAGTATAATCCAAGGAGTTCGAAAATGGAGTAATTTCTTAGCAAAGACAACAATAGATATACAATTTACAATCTACAAGCAATTGCCCATTTGTTTTTTCTTTCAATTACATTCAGACCTCTGATGCAAAATTATTCTTGTAGATTTTTAAGGGAAATTTTCCTTTTTTTTACAATTAGAATCCTTTGTCGGCAATTTATTCCATTCAAGGTATCAACTGGAACTGATTTTTATACTGAGGATTATCCTAGTTAATTGGAATTTTAACTATTTCATTCCCTTTGTGCCGAGAAAATTCGCTGGTTTAAGGGAGAAATTAATCAATTAAATTGAATTAATTAATTAAATCGATTGTGGAGTGGAAAAGTAAAATTCTAATTGAATATCAATTCAAAGCGGTCGCTGAATTTCTCATTTACTTTGGAAATTGAAGGAAATTGGTGTTCATGTTAGAGAATTTGTTTTCGTGGAACATTGAATTTTCATGTACATCCGGAAAATTCAATATTAAATATAATTGAATTTCTAATAGATTGGCAATTGGAGGAATTTTACACGTTCCCACGTTTTTCTGAGTCATACATACGAGTCCGAATTCACGTAAAATTCTGTTATTTTTCCGTAATTACGGAGTGAAAGTTTACGGAACATTTTCGGAATTTATTCAGAATTTTCCGCGATTTTTATTCGAATTTTCGGTGACATTACTATTTCTCTCTGGGTGTCGTTAAAAATTTCAAGTGCAATTTTCCGTCAGTGTAATTCGTCGATTATGCAAAAGAAATCGGTGGACGAAACATTTGTCGGCTTTGTGCATTGCTTTGCAATGATCCGAATGTAGGACCTGGGGAAAACCTGGCTAAATGCCAAAAGTCTCCTCCCAGGGCTTTCCTCGTGTCCACGGTATTGTTCGGTGTGGCAATTACGACCCGTTCCGAAAAATACCTAGGATATATGTACATTTATATATATATATTTTATCCCTTATTCTCCCCCATTTTTTTTTTACTGCCGTGCACTTTGCCGCTGTAAAAAAATGGTTGCGCTCGATTTGGACAATGGGAAAACTAGTCCGGGCGGCAAGTATTCGGCAAAAAATTTGACTAATGAAATTTATTTCTCTATTATTTATTATCGCCTCATCAACATTGATTGATGGCGAATAATTATTAGTGTTTATTGCATCTCTGGACTGCTGGAAATCCCTTTTGAAAAAAAGCATGTAATGTTTTTTGCCAGCTTTTTTCGACATAGCTAAGCTATATATATATATATATATATATATAATAGAATATATCATTTTAATAAAATAATGATTTGGCTAGAATAAGAAAAAAAATATTGCATTTATCAAATGGATTTAATTAAAGAAAAAAACAAATTAATGGGTAATTTTTGTAGAGATATTAGATTCTTTTAATATTTTGGTTTTATATTTAAATGATAATAGCCCATAGGTGTGAGCTTAGGTGCGCCATATACGTTAGTGTTTTAAATTTTCTGCTCTCGCTGAAAAAATAATTCTGAACATTTCTTTTTTAACTTTGACAATGCGCACTCTTGAGTCTCCCTTATCATAATTATAACCGCACACTGGGTTGTGTACGCAACTGACATAAATCAGGGATAATTGTGGCCGAAGAGAGGGTCGAAATAGTTATGGAATATGAGGGGGAGGGGAGGGTAATGTCCCTCCCAAGTAGTGGCTATCTGTGCGCATTTGCGCGGGTAACCGCGTATCCACTAGTACAATCAAACCACGTAAATAATACTTTCTCCATGAAAATGAATCACCGGGGTGAATGGGCTATTTTTACCTATTGAAAATTTTGCGAAAAAAATTTCCTCGCTGGAAATTTCTCTTGAAATTTATAGAGGGAAAAAATTTTAATATTTTAATATTTTCAAAAATTTCGTGGACTCTCTTATCTTTTAATAAATTCTTTCAAAATAAAATTAATTATGTAAATAATAGGGAGGAAATACGAATATTAGCAAAAGTAGTTTTATTAGAATTTTCGTTGTAACGAAAAAAAAATGATGATAATAATTATTATTAAATAATTGAAAGTATTAATTGTGAATATTGTGAATAAATAATTTTTTTGGCAAATATGATATATAGTGAGTCGGCAAAAATCCGCTTACTACTCAGAGAAAAAAATCAAGCCTATTTTTTTCTTATATATGTATATATATATTTCTTCTATATATATATATATATATATCAAAAGGAATTACGAGAAAAAAAAATGAATCATTTAATCACCATTGGATAAACAAATTGATCAGCTGTTCAAAGGCATCACTGAAGCTTGACACACATTGAGAATATTATATTATATATTATAAATTTGCATCTGTATATACAATTCTTCAATGAAATTTTTCTCCTCTCGTATTTACGGACTTGTGAATTGCCATGGGTTGAATATTTTATGGGAATACCGATTTATCCGTTTGGAATTTTTTTAATAATCCGAGATATAATGTACAACTCAGTGGTCTTACATGGCAGAATGGTGCAGAAGGTGCACGGAAATTGATTTTAAAATGGAGGGAGTGTGAAAGAGGACTAGCGAACCGTATCAGATCCGAGCTCCTGTGCATTGAACATGAAAGTCTATATAACAAGTAGGTGCATCGATCAGGTTCCACTTGAACTTATCGATAATGACACCCTTATGTCTACTCACTCCTTTCCGAGGTTCGATATCAAATTCCCCTAGTCAAATTTACCATTTCACACAAAATTTCTAAAAAATATATGCCTACAGGCATTCCTCTCTGCAATAATAAAAAAAAGGGCACGCACACACAGTATTATTGGTAGCGAAATATTTTTCTTGGGAAATTTCCAATTATCCACTTGACATTTTATTTTACTTCAATTTGCATTATGTAAATAGCCATTTATGTAGGAAATATATATTATGGGGAATTTTCGTGGAAATTTCGAGCGCTGTTTAATGCAGCATCGATTGAACATTCATTTGAATGAAAATGAAAACTGAAAAAAAAAATACTTTTCATCGGCTTTTGCATTTTCAATGCAATTACTCTCGTCGATGGTTTTTATCATAAAATGCTGTCCAAACATACCACAGATTGTTTCAGTTATCGAGTATACAAGAATGTTTGCACCGAGTGAACATTTCATCCGGTATTCATTGAATCTCTTCGTACATAACAACTCGATATTTCGAGAAACAAAAAGTAAATAAAATGAATTTCATGTTCACACACGATACGGTACTCTAAAGAATGAAAGCTGTTTCGAGAGGTCATGCGATGGTGGCAATTCACAAAGGACTGGAATAAATTGAAATTCCAATTGATAAACATTTGACGAATACATTTATTATTTATCGTAAATCCATCACGGGAATGAGTCGCTGGTATTGTCGCTATTCCGTTACAATTTCGCTCATTTGACTTTCTCGCGTGTCTGTGATCAATTATTCAATCTATTCGCCATTTTTTCACGGTTATAGAAACAATTGATCATTATTACACTTTTACGTGACAGGATCTTTCCCTTTTTAATATAAATTTAATATAAATTCGAAGGCAATCGATGAACTCGGAATATAAAGTGGGGGAAAATGGAAGGTTTCGTGAGAAGAGGAGGCGAAAGATATTTGATAAAAATTGATTTGTCGATAAATTGATCGCTCTAGCAACGACTTAAGTTGTTACACTGACATTTTATAAAGGTCATTTCTCGATTTTTTTTTTTTTTTTTCGTGTGTGTGATTTCGAAATTGAGAGTGTGAAAGGCAAAAATCATTGTGTCATCCGGATGAAGGTCGAAGAAACGGAATTTAACATTTAAATTTATGAACGATTAACTGACGATGGGATAATTCATGCAATCCGTTATTTTATGTTTCAGGTATGTTGGGGTAGTTGAGGAAGGTCTAGACGGTTTTAATTGGTGAACGGATGGTC